AAAGTAGGAAACATATATCACGCTAATAAATTGTCTCACCCGTTCACCACGGCCAATGGCTCCCCGGAGTCTTTAAGAAGTCAGGCTTCTGCTGTCCTTATTATGCCAGGGTGTGACAGGGCCATGTTCTCATTGCCTCCCTAGTTCACTGGCAGAGACAGATGGCACAAAAACATTGGCCATTTGTGTGTGTGTGTGTGCGTGTTTTTTTGTTTTTTCACAGTTGTTTGTGGCAGCGTTTGTAAGCACCCCCGTGCAAACCAGCCATAAGCTGGGTTGTTTTCCTAACAGCGTGAGTGTCCGGTAGTGGAAACCATCACACATTCTCACAAACCAGTAGAACATGCATTACCAAGGGTGAAGCGTCAAGCAGCGATGGGCTGTGGGTGAGGGTGGCACATACCGGTTCACGTGGGGGTGACAACAAAAGTACCATTCTGGTCCGGGAACCTGGTAATCAGAGGGGCTGGGCACCCATGGGAGCAGAGAGTGTATTTGGAGATTTAGCCTGGCGCTTCCAGGCCTGAAGTATGCTTTCTCTAGGACACGGCCTGTTTAGCCATGCTACAGCCCTACATCAAAAATGGATTCAGCGGTCCTGGGGAGAAGGCCTGTGGGTGCTGTGTGGGTTCCAAAAGGCTGCACTCCCTGCCTAAGCTTTAATGTCATATGGTAACGGGCTCACTGCTTGGAGTTCAGAAGTCAAACAACAATCGATTTTGTGACAGGAGGATAAAATGGAAAGCCTGAGAAGGATGCTCTGCTCTCAAAGCGAGTGGGCCAAGGGCCCGGGAAATCATCACATTTCTAGTGATGAAATGTGATGGAACCTGACATTCCCCAACCCCACTGTGATCAGATAAAAAGAAGCCCACACTCCTACGTTTGGTGAGGACATGAAAGGTGGTATACCCCAAGGCCTCTTTGCTATTTATTTATTCATTTATTTATTCATTTATTTGGTGGTAATAGTGTTTTGGGGTTTTGTTTTGTTTTGTTTTGTTTTGTTTTGTTTGACAAGGTTCGTGTTTTGCTGAGCTGCATATATGTTCAATATGGGTTCTGAGGATCAAAACCAGAACTTCCTACAGGCTGAGCCAGCACTCTGCCAAACAGGCTACATCCTCACTCACCTCCACCCACAAGACTGTTAATAAGCAGTCGCATGAGGACACATGAAGGAAATAACACTTGTATGTGAAAGAGGCCAATCTGAAAGGGCAGTAAGCTGAAGGGGTCCAACTATATAACATACCAGAAGAGGAAAAAGAATAGAGATGGGGTAAAGATTGGCCGCCAGCCACCAAAATCTGGGAGGAAGGAGAGAGAAAGAGCCAGCACAGCAGGCAGGTGGTGTTGGGAGGCTACCCTCCCTGAGTGTCCGGTAGTGGATACTATCACACAGTCTCACAAACCCGTAGAACACGCATCACTAGGGGTAAGGGTCAAGCAGAGATGGGCTGTGGTTGAGGGTGGCACATACCGGCTCACGTGGGGGTGACAACAAACGTACCATTCTGGTCCAGGAACCTGGTAAGCAGAGGGGCTAGGCACCCATGGGAGCAGAGAGGCTGTGGAGTTCTCTTCACCTTCAATTTTGCTGTGAGCCTACAACTTCCTAAAACAATAAAGCTTGTTGTTTAAGAAACACAACTCCAACTCTGCCTCACTCGCCCACTCTGGTTCACTCACTTCTTTCATTACATTTATTAAATTAAAAGGTAATTTAGTAAGCCTGTAATCCTAGCACTCGAGAAGCAGAAGCAGGGGGATTTCTGTGAATCCACCTTCAGCCTGGACTACATAGACAGTTCCAGGTCAGCCTAGATTACTGAGTAAGACCCTGCCTCAAAACCAAAACAATGACACATACAAACCTAGAGTTCCAATCTCTTCTTAAAAGACTGCTTTTCTGCAATATCATAATCTCAAGAGAATCAAAGAAACAATGTTTTAAAAGCATGCTTCGAGGGCTAGAGAGATAACTCGGCAGTTAAGAGCATGTGCTGCCTTTGCAGGGGTCCCTAGCTTGGTTACTGGCACTGCACCCATGGTGGGTGGATCACACGTGACTGTAACCCCACCTCCCAGGATCTAACATTAGACTCTGTGAGCTCCCCCCGCCCCCCGCCCCCGAGAGATGCAAAGGCCACACAGTTCCACACACACGTTTTTAAATTAAATTGAAATTTCATGTTTTAAAAGCATGCTTTAATCATTGGGTTAAGTCTTATCATCAGGGTTAGCTCCTCCACTTGCAGGCCCCACTGGAAAAGTGAGGGTCTCCCCACATGGAGACCAAACACACTAAGTATTTGTCCAAAATTCACTAAGAATCCCAAGACTGTTGATTGCAGGCAATGAGCCAAGCGGAAGGTCCTTTGAGAACACATAGGTTATGTCAGCACCACGCTGACCCTGATCTCATCCATGGCAAGACCCTGAGACTCTCAAGAGAGGCGAGGCAGAGGCGCTCAGCCTTCTCCCTGACACAGTGACTCTCTCCCTTTCCAGAGCTGTGGCTCATGGTCTCCCTTAGGTGCTGGAGCACAGAGTGCTGGCTTGGGGTAGTCTGTGGGATCCTCTTCACCCTGCCAGGCAAGAGGGGAGACATGCGTGCTCTCTGAGTCATTCAAGACTCTAAAAATTTGGGAGCGAACACAAAGCTGAAATGTTCAAACCTGGAGTCAGGCAGGGCAAAATAAAAATTGCCAAAGTCAAATCAACTAGAGGTGGAACCCATGAACAACGAAGTCTGTCCAGCGCTACTGCAGTGAGGAGCTCTCACAGGACAGGGAATCACAGTCCTCTGGAGCGTCAGGAAAGGGCTCTGGCCGCCACCACAGAGAATTTCCGGGACACACTTTGCTCACAACCTTTGGACTCCTGGTCCTCGACGCTACGACCAGGCTATTTTTAGGTGAAGGTACTCAGCACTGCTGTTCGCCCCTTGATAAGAAGTGCCTGAACTTCACGTTCTCAAGGCTCCCAGCCTGGGCTCCCAAGGGGTCAGGGTGCCACAGGACAGGGATAAATGGGAGGAAGAGCTTGCCGCTTTGTTCTTTTCGTCAGCTTGGTGGGATTAAGAAATACCCAGAACGTGAGTAACCATCCTTCTAGAGTGACTGTGAGAGCTCACTAAAAGAATGAACTGAGGGGCAAGGCCCACCTAAATGTGAGCAGCGAGGTTGCCCTGGACTGAATTTAAAAACAGGAAGAAAGGGCGAATTTCTCCTTTCTCTGCTTTGTGATGGAACCTGACGGGAAGAAGCAGCATGGCCAAGGGCGGTTCCGGGAGCTATGTCTTGCCTTTTCTGCCACTATACGCTGGCTGCATCTTCAACTGTGAAGCAGAGCAGGCCATTCCACTTCTTTGCTATTTGGTCTCCCAATGAAAAAAGGAAATGCAGAGCTTTGGGTAAGTACCTCTCATGTCCGGCATATCTGTCAAGTTCTCCCACGTCAGGTGAACTTGGGCTGAGAATAAAGCTGCCCTGCATTTTGCTGTTGGCCAAGTCTGGATAAGGGCCCAAAAGCTCGTGGGAGAGGACTGGGGACTGTGAGAGTGTGTCCCACCCTTTACCATCCCCACTGGACAGAGCGGTACCCAGTGGCAGGACATATAGACTGCTTCCTCTGAACTCTCCACAGCCGCAGGGGTTACCCATCGTCTCCAGACAGAGCTGGAGGTGGACCTTTGTGCCCCTAAAATCCTTCCCAAAGCAAAGTTCTCCAAGAATGTGCAGTAATCACATAGAAAAATGAAGGTCTTCCTGGCTGGCCCAGGGGAACAGACGTGCAAATTGGTGCACCAAGCAAGATGGACATTTTTAATGAGCTCATAGTGGAGCAGTTGAGAGCCATGCCACTTCCTATGGACTTCAGTTTGACTCTTTTAATTTTCACAGTCTCCATTTTGCAAATGGGGAAATGGAGACACACGGTGTCCTGTCTAAAGAAACTCAGACAGGAGAAGATCCCGAATAGATCAGCTACAGAAACAAATGCTTTTTGTCTGCTCCATTGCATGGAATCTACTTCTAAACTCGGCAGAGAATGGAAGGGAAATGGACCCAAGATCCACACTAATGCCAGAGTTTGCAACAGGAGCTGTGACCGAATGTCAGTCTCAGTTACTTACTGAGATGTAGCACCGTCACCTCCAGGCAGAAAGTGTCTTGTCCGGAGCCCCAGAGTGACTCAAGGGACTCCATGCCATGCTTGTTTCTGCCATTCCAAGTCAGTAAGCTTAAGATACTGTATGAAGCTTTGGCTGTGTCAAAAAGCCAAGGAGGCAATTTCTACAAGAGGTAAAAACCTCAGAAAGACTGTATCCTTGGTCACAATGACATCCTCAAGATTAGGACTAAGAGAGGAATTAGTTTATCCCGGATGTATCTATTAACAGTTACATTGTCCAATAACATGTAACAATAACAAAAGATAACACAGAGAAAAGTGGCAATTGTTTAAAACTGATGAAGAGAAAAAAAACAATGTTTCCATGGAACCTTGAAAGAATTTTCTTGAAATATTTCTTGAAATATTTTCTTCCTGAAAATATTTGAACCAACTGAAAAAAAAATCATGAATTCCAATTTTTAAAAGTAGTTAAAAATGGTGAGACCATCATTAATTTTTTATTCAAATGGCAGTCAAAGCTGCAGCCTGGAAATCCAGTTTGTTACAGAGCCAACTAAGCTAGCCAAGGTTTAATCATATACCTGATCTGAACCAGGCAAAGAAGCCTAGAACCTCGGTCTTTAGTTTTAAAACCAAGCCCTCTGACTCTTAATTTCTGTAAAAAGATAAAAATTAACCATAATAACATTTTTAACCAAGCATCTTATAGGCAGGCATGAGTCTTTTTCCTTTTAAAACTTTATTTCTGTTATGTGTATGAGTGTTTTGCTTTCATGTATGCATCTGTAGCATTCTTGAGATGTCAGAAAAAGTCATGTGATCCCTGGAATTGGAATTATGGAGGTATGTGAGCTGTTGAGAGACATTGCATTTTAACACACAGTAATAGTGCAATTTTGCATGATGAAAATAAGTTTATTTAAGGAAAAATGCACCTCATTTCCTTGCCTGACAAAGGCAAGTACCGCGGCAGAGGAGCTGACTCATGAAACAGGTGGCCACTCCCAAATTTGGAGCCATTCCTCATGCGCACAGTCCAGGGAAAGATCAACCGAGGCGGCAGCCAGGTGCTCTGTGACGTCCAGGAGCTGTGCTAACGGACACTGCAGGTCATGCTGAAGAAGCAAGTCCGCAGAACTAGTCAAGATCTGACATCTTTCTGTCAGCGTCTGAGTGTGAGCCCTACGTGGCCTTCCAGTTCCCCATCTTCAAGTCTTAATTCGGTATTGAAACCAAATTTATTTCTGTGCTGACCACGAATTAACAAACGTCTTCAATTCAAAGAGCACATTTTAAAATATCTTTACCTGCTTTTAAATATTGCTTACACACTCTGAAATAGAAATATTTTGTCCATCCCAGCATTATGATGTCACCAATCAGCAGGCTACCAATCATTACACTTCCATCACATTAATTCCCAGGAGGGGCCCATTCTCTAGCCTCCGTGGTTATAAAAAGTAACTTTGGAATGTTACTCCAGGTCAGCAGCTCATGGACACCCCTCCTTCTGGATCCACAATTCAGTGCAGCAACCTTTTAGTAAGCTGCTGCTGACCCTGGGGTCTCTCTGCACTACCACAGGGTGAAGAGGTCTGGACTTGATTGATGTTAGCAAAGGGTTTTAGTCAATGAGAATCAAGTGGTCATCGCTTCTTCTCCTGTTAATGGAAAAGAGGACAAAGAAAAAAGAAAATAAGGATTTTGAGCATTTTTGTTTGGGTAGCCTTGTGTTGTTGTTTTAGACAGGGCCTCATGTATCTCAGGCTAGCCTCAAACTATGTCACTGAGGATGTAGCTGAGGATGACCTTGAACTCCTGATCCTTCTGTGTCCCTTCCCCAGAATTCATGTATTACCGTGCCTGACATTTACAGCTTAAAAAAAGACTTTATTAATAATATAGTGATGTTAGGGATCAAACTGACAGCCTTCCCAGTCTAGCAACTGTCCTACCACTGAGTTATATCCCACACCCCCAAAATCATCAGAAAACGCCTGGAATACTCTATATTCTAGATGCATATAGCTCATGTGAGCAAAATGTAAAAGATGAGGAAAACTGGGCAAGGGAAGTTACATGCATTAAGGTTTGGATAGAGGCCTCTGGAAACACCCTGTGAGCAGCCATCACTCTAAGCACTGTGCCCTAACAGAGCCTTATCAGTGGCCACACGGGCCAGGCACCCTCCCTCACACTAGACAAAGTCGTGGAAAGCTAGGAAGAGGAACCTGAGGCTACCAGGCTCACCCTGCAGGCACCAAGTGGTTCAGGAGAAGCGTGGAGATATGTGTCTGGGTACATCTTTGAGGATGTGTCTAGAGATGTTTGACTGAGAAGGGAGGAACACCCTGTCTTGGAGAGAATAAAAAGGGGGAAAGGAGGTCAGCTGAGCACCAGCATTCATCTTCCTGCTTCTTGGCTGTGTGTGCAATCGTGACCGGCTGCCACGGGTCCTGGCCACCATGTTTTACCTGCTCAAACCCTGACCTGAAATAAGCCCTTCTTTCCTCAAGTCGCTTTTCACCAGGAATTTTGACACAACGGCAAGAAAAGCCACTAGTATAATAACTACAGGACGCCATGCAACCGGGAGAGACCTGCCTTATCCTTCCCATTTCTTAGGAGGCAGTTGCCAATTAAGAAAATTAATTTTCCTTTATCCTGGCATCCACAGCAATAATTTGATGCTCTGAGAGGATGAAACGCAATTTTGAAGATGTCTCAGAAGACCTCCTCTCATGTTTATCAGACATTCTTCGGATATGCTCGGTCACCTCATTGCAAACCTCCAGACATGGTGTGAATGGATCCACAGAAAAACACGCCGTGTGAGCTTAAGTAGCTGTGATCTCCTATCTTCCTTTAGGAATTTGATTTATGGATTCGCCTCAAAAACATGGCCAAGGAACACTTTAAATTTTTCTACCTCTTGACCCACGTGAAACACAGATGTGTACATTTGAGGAAACCGTCACCATCCAACCTCCATCCTGGTCCCCACACAACAGTGTAGTACACTCCAGTCTCTCAGAATCAGGTCCTTCTCTCAGAGTCCCAACAGCCAGCAAAGTCTGGCTGAGCAATGAAGAGCTACTGAGGTGTGCTTGTGACCAAGAACACTGGACTCGTTTGAATGAGGATGATCCCCATAGGCTCATAGATTTGAATACCTAGTCCTCAGTTGGTGGAAGGATTGGGAGGTGTGGCCTTGTTGGAGGTGTTTCACCTACAGCAGGCTTTGAGGTTTCAAATGCCCGCACCATTCCCAGGTGGTTGTCTCTCTGCCTTAGGCTTGTGGATCCACATGGAAGCTCTCAGCTATTACCCCATGTCTGCCGGATGCCATGTTCCCCATGCCAATCATGGCCTCACCCTCTGAAACTGGAAGCCCCAATAAATTCTTTTCATCTCTACGGTGTTTTGTCACCAAGCAACAGAAAAGTAACGGGGACAGACACTGATAGCTTCCCCTCTAGCCTGTTCAAGGAGCTGGTTTCTTCCACGTCCTGTGAGGGGAGGCAATGCCTTTGATGTGCCTGGAGGTCCACCTCCAAAACATGCACTGTGACCTCTTCCTTTGGCCCCTCGAGACTCCAGCCTCTGACTCTGTCACAGTTCATCTCCTCCTGAGGCTTCCGTGAGGTCCATAAGAGTTTCAATCATGTCATGAAACTTTCTACACAAACCTTGTTGTGTAGAGCATTGTTTTATAAGAAACAATGCATTTCCCAAACAAATCTTTGTGACAGGAAAGAAAAATAACATCCATTTCCCATCACAAGCTGATTTCAGGTACAGTGTTAACTTGGGAATGACTTTCTTCCCACTACAGACACAATACTGACCTCCTCAGACAGCAGACACAGGACAGCAAGGTGGATGCCTCCTTCTGGTATCCGTCTTTGCTACTGCGTTCCTTCAGGAATTTCTGCAGGTCTGTCTCAGGAAACCCATTCTGTTGGTATTTCTTTTGAAAAGCACACAATCCTGTTACCTACTTTCTAGAGCATGAGGAACTGTTCCCTTCATCAACAAAGCAAACCCACCTTTGTGAAAGGAAACTCCCACAGTGCTAGCTCAGATCCGAGAAGTACTATGAACAATGAAGAAGCAGACTATCAGGCCCAGAACAGCTAAGCCAGCGAGGCCATGGGAGCTAAGAACAATGGGAAGGAAAACTCCAGAAAACAAGCCAGGGGAGAAGGGAGAAGAGGGGTGTTGAAAAGAAGAATGAAAGAAATAGCCAAAACCAGAAAGCTGGAGTGGTTTTTGTTTGTTTATTGGGTTGGTTGATCAGTTGATTTTTCCAGACAGGGTTTCTCTGTCTAGCCTTGGCTGTTTTGGTCTGCTTTGTAGATCAGGCTGGCCTCAAACTCACAGTAATTCCACTTGCCTTTGCCACCCTGAGGGCTTGGATTAAAGGCATGTGCCACTATACCCGGTTAGAAAGCTGGAGTGTTAATCATGAGACCAGCAGATAATTTTCACTCCACACCCTGCCCACCTAGAATCGGATAGGGTGGTAACCTGCATTCTCCTCCTACATGGAAGTCGGCCAGAGTGGGGCAGGTGGTAGATTTTCCCAACAGACAGAAAACCTCTAGCATCCAGTCATGGTTAGTAAATTCATCCACCTCAGCTGATACTTGCCCCACACAAGGACAGTTAGGTCAGCTTTGACCATGTCAAAGACCTGAGCCTTCGTGGCGAGAGCCTGCGCTACAGTTCCAGCACACTCAGCTACAAGGGTCAACTACCATATGAACTCTGACCACTCACCAGCTTTCTTTGGGGTTAGTATGGAAAGAGCTGCACAGAAGCCAGCACCAAAGGACACCAACACAGGAATTGTGTGGCTTAGGCCCTGGTCCTGAAGTAGTTTTTGTAGCACAACCATCTGCCATGGAGGTAGCAGCTCCCCAGACAGTGATCTCCCTTAGAGCTATACATCAAACACACAGGCCCAGTCTGAAAGGGCGTGGGGTGATCTGGCTTAGGAAAGCTGGAACCATCCTTTGCTTCACTTTAACAAAGTGTGCACCATCGGTGTATAAGGTACACCACCAGCAGTTATCAGCTGTAAGGGTGGCAAGCACTTCCCATCACTGGAATTTACATTGAAACCTGAGTCCCAGGTAGCCATTCAGGAAGGAACATCTGTCTGGAGTTTGCATTCGTTATAATCAGCTTTTATTAAAATGTTTCAAGTACTGTGCTGGCCAGTTTATGTCAGCTTTACACAAGCTACAGTCCTCTGAAAGGATAGAACCTCAGCTAAGAAAAGGCCTCCATAAGATCTGTCTGTAGGGCATTTTTTAATTAGTGATTGATAGAGGAGGGCCCAGCCCATTGTGGTGGTACCATCCCTGTGGCTGGTAATTGTAGGTTCTATAAGAAAGCAGGCTGGGTAAGTCATGATGAGCAAGCCAGTAAGCAGCACCCTTCCATGGCCTCTGCATCAGCTCCTATTTCCAGGTTCCTAACCTGTTCGAGTTCCTGTCCTGACTTCCTCTGATGATGAAACATGACGTGGAAACATAAACCAAACAAACTTTTTCCTTTCCAAATTGTTTTTGGTCGTGGTATTTCCTCACAGCAGTAAGAACCCCAACTAAGACAAGTGCATATTTAAAATCAGTCATCAGAACAAAAAGAAGGTTTATTTTCTAAAGTTTTTTTTAAGGTGACTAAAGTTATGTTCTTGTGCTCCAATCCATAGAAAGTCTATGATGCTTTTGGGCAGCATGTATTGATCATGACTTACCTTGATGGTGTGGTAAGAATCGGTGATGAGTGCGATGAAGAGGCTGAGGACCATGTATATGAATAAGCTGATGAAGGAATACAAGTAGATGCGGCTGAAGAGCCACACCAGGATGCTCTTCTGCTGAATCTGAGCAAAGGTGGCAAACATGTCATCACCGTTCACCAAAGAAAACAGGCACTCCGCAACTATGTTCAGGTTTTCAAACTGCAAGGAGAAACAAGGGAACTACTGATACCGAGAACCACAGGAAGCAGGGAGCTGCAGGGAGCATATTTCCTTCAGGCTGCTTCTGTCATTAGTAAAACTGTAGTGTCTCTATACTACAGCCAGCAACATATGAAAATGGCTGAGACTCAACACAAGACAGAAAAGGCTTAAATAGTTGTACCATAGCCTTCCCAACCATATGATAAACACTTTTCCAGAAACTTCCTACCCAAAAAGTAGACAGGCCACAGCTAAGCAGACAAGGCCTGTGGCAGAGCCGGGGTGGGCCGTACAAGTGACACTCCAAACTGGTTCTCAGCGAGCGGTGGAAAAAGTTGTATTCAGTGATTATGGGAAAGTGTGGTTCTGAGACACACAGGAATGGCTGCTGAGGGACATTTGTGCCATATTGCACAGGGCCTCATTGAGACTTGGACATACGTCAGACTCAATCCAGCTCACAAGCAGACTTGAGCAAGGAACATCTCAGCCATGGGAGCAATGTGATTGGACACATGCGTCTTTAAAAACTAGTATCATCTGGGCGATCTCCTGGAGCAGGAGTAGCCCAAGGGCAGACGGCAGCCAGAGTCGACATCAGAGCACTAACCAGAAAAAGAGACTCTGAAGAAATCAGATCCAGAATCGCCCAGGATCCCAGCAAACCCCCGGCAGGTCTCTGAGGAGCTTTTAGTTAAACTTGGGTGAGAAGATCCACTCCATATGTAGGTGGCAACATTTCAGGCTCCGACTCCAGGCTAACTCAAAAGGAGAATGTGAGCTGAGTACCATATCCATCTCTCTCTCTTCTTCTTGACTGTGGATGTCATGTGACCAGCCACCTTATGGTCTCAACACTGTGACTTCAAACTGCAGCCTCAAACTGTAAGCCAAAGCGAACCCTCCCTTTTGTTTCTTTTGTTAGCTATTCTAGTTATCACAGTCTGTTGCAGTGGGTTTTCCTCCCGGCCCCAAGCTCCCAAATTAAAAGTGAGAATCAAAATATAATTATAAATACCTGGGCCATATATCTAGGCTCTTCCTTGACTAGCTCATAACTAAGTAACCCATTTATACTAAGCTACATTCTGTGACATGGCTGGTTACTTCTGCTCAGGTACCATGCTGTCTGCCCTCCTCACATCTTGCCTGTGACTCTCCCATGCCTGGCTCCATCCCAGAATCCTTTCTGCCTGCCAGATGTCCCACCTTCTATTTCCTGCCTCGGCTATAGGCAGGAGTACAGCTTTTTATTGATGGAAACTCAGACACTAGGGTGCTTGGCTGAAGGTATGCACATGGAGCTTAAGCTCTGATCCAAGGCTAACACAGAGCATCACTAGAATCCACAGCCAGGCATCCTGGCTTTGAGAAGCTATCAAACTGCCTCCCTCCACTAAAACAAACTGTCTTTCATTAATAAACATGTCCCTGGAGCCAGGAGTTTAGTCAGTAGATGGATATTAAAAACTAATGAAGTAATAATGACTAGATAAACAAAAGACAATATGGTTTTCAGAAATACATGAAACATGTTGCTGTAGAGTTTTCAATCAATTCTGACATTAATTGAGCATGTTCATTAATTGAGTGTGGACTTGAGTACACCCAGGTCCTCAATAAACATCTGGTATATCCTTCTTGGGGAAGGGGTATATGCTGTCACTTTAAAGGTAATAAAATGAACCTTCCATCACCCTATCCAAAAAAGGGCTCTCCTTCCAAACTCCTCTATTCCTGTAACTGATTCCAGCCTCCAACTGAAAGAAACATTTGTACCAAAATAATTACATTTGACTCTGTGCTGGTTTGGCTAGTCTTTCCCATCTTTGGTCCTCTAAAGCCTGTGATATGAGCCACCCTCCCTCTTCTGCTCTGATATCAGTGATAATATTGGATCGTTACAGAAACTTCTAGGGAAGTCTTTTGCATGCCAGTCTCTTTATCCTGCAATCCAAACTGAAAAAAAAAGGCAAGCAAATACACAAACAAACAATGCCCCCCCCCCAATCTCATAAAAATAGCCTTAAAGCCATTCCTCTTACTTATGGCCATGAAAACAGAAAACCTAACTGCAGAAGTTTCCAGTAACTCCTTCCTCCATGTGACCTCAAGGTTCCTTCTTGTTAACATCCATGCTTAGCTCCCCCAATAGCACATTTCCATGGTAGAATTTAATCTTGTCATCCCATGTATTCCTCCTTCCCCTCTTCATCAAAAAAAAAAAAGTCAACACTCAAGGGCTAACTCAAAGTCTACCTGGCGATAGAATGCTCTGTCAGCTGCAGCCCTGCTCCATTATCAGTAAGAACTGCAGAAAGTGTGGTAGGGCTGCTTAGTAATTGCTCAAAAATGCATTTCTATACCTCAGTTCGAGAGCAAGCATAGCATTTTATATGTGTTGTCCTATAATGAAATGGAGCAGGACAGGATGTGTGGGCCCAAAAGTGGTATGAAAACATATCCCTAACAGCAATCACTCTCAACATTTTTGCAAAGTCAACCATGAAGAGCTGTGCTAATGCTGCTCTGCTTGGAGTCCTGCAGGAAGCATCCAGTTGAGCAGACCTCTTAAAAATAAATATGCAGGCTATTAAACAGTAAGACAGGAAGTCCCCAGGGTGTTTCTCATCGTCAACAGCTTAAGACAGTAAGGCTAGAGCTGGCTTATCTGGATGTGTGAGATTCTAACTGCATCATGGTTCTCATAATTTCTTTTGCTACCTGGTCAATCTCTTTCGATTGTTTCAAGGCCTCTAAAAATGTGTGCTTCCTGTTTCAGAACTTCAAATAGCTCATTGGTCAGTACTTATCAGACCCATGTCTCAGCTTCCTGTGTGGACACTATCAGCATAGACACAATGCCCATCTCAAATTAATGTATTCAGAACCATTATACCCCTCCCCCTGTATACAATTAGACCTATTCTAGCCCACCAAGTTAAGTTAAAGAAAGACCTAATAAAGTAACTAGTGCACACTGGTCATTTTCCTACCACAAGGACAGACTATAACAAAAGTCAGTTTTCGTGGCCAAATTCCAAACACATGAGCATAATGGAGTCCTATGGCCAGGTGCTAAAGGGTCTCCAGCTAGACAGCATGCTGGTTCTCTCTTAAGAAAGGCAAGCCCCAATGTCTAGATACTTTTCTTTTCACTGTGAGCGAGGAGGGAGGATTTCTCTGGCTCGTGGGTTGGAGGGGATGTAAATCCATCATGGCAGGAAGGCAGGGCAGTAGGAATGCACAGCATCTGCTCACCCACAACTCGGCGAGACAAGACAGAGTCGGGGTGCTGCCCTGGTCCTCTTCGCTTTCCCTGTTGACTCATTCTGGACTCCAAGCCCTTGTGATGGTGTGGCTCTCAGTTGGGATGAGCCCTCCCTCCTGTTAGAATTTTCTGGAAATGCCCAAATGTTTATGCCTAGAAGTGTGTCTCCGAGGTGATTCTCAGTTTACGCAGGCTGACCAGCACACCCTGGAAGGCAGGTCAGCTGTCTCTCACCAGCAGACTGGCTGAGCACTGGACACATTCCAGGCTCCAGGGCGGCTGCTGGAAACATGGGGTGGGGTGAGCCATAGTCTCTGCCTTCTAGGAACTCAGTCCTGACAGAACTGTGTGCAGAGATGGTTAATAAACAGCCAGTAGGTATTTCCATTAAAAGTCTTGGCAGTCCAATGAAATCATAGAGAGAAACAAAACATTTATGTCACAAACAATGTTTGTGAGTGAGCCAAAAGACCTTTCATTTGAAGGCAGATACAATCTGCAATCACTTATGTCAGAGTGATTTAAAGTGTGCTTTAAAGTATACCTGCTCTAGGTAGTAAGAATCTCTTGCATTAGGTAAAATGTTTTAGCTGGCTCATGATTGCTTTGAATAAGCAAAGTTTCTGGGCAAGACCAGAAGCCTTGGAAATGTCATGATTTTGCCCATGGCTTCGGCAAAGTGCAATGATTTTTCAATGCCTTGTTCTTCTTATTTGTAAAATGGGGATAATGCAAAACTATTATTCATGCATCATAGTAAAAAAAAAAAAAAAGTCCCTTGCAGATGGGAAATGTAAAAGACACATTAGAGAAGTGCTTAATAATTCAAAATGTGGTTTGGAAGACCATCCTCAGCCTTCAGCTCTCTGTGCCCAGACGTCTTTAAGGAGCATGGTGCCAAAATCCATTAGTGCTAGAAATGAACATCAATGTGACACTTTCTCTTCCTGGAGCTGAATCACTGAGATCAGATGTGTAGCAGGGAGACAGGAAGCTAAAGAGTCTGGGACTTTGGCCCCCAATAAGTTGCATCAAATACGAATTTTCCTGACACCTTCCCTTCAGAGTTTTTTTGTTTGCTTGTTTGTTTTAAATGATGAATGGTTTCGCATGCAAGGTTTCTGTGATTATAAATGTATCGTTGGGTGTTGGCGGCAATGCTTAGCTGCCTGAGGGTTTAGGTACCACTGAAAGGCCTCTGTCAACTGCTACTGGTATAACCTGGATGCTCTAACACATCAGTTTGAGGGTGGTGATGGTGGGGACAGTAAAATTTCCCACTTCTGTTTTAGATCAGAAGCAGTGCAGGGCAGAAAAGCACCAAATTCCAGAATCGGGCTGATGTTCCTTTACCCCTTGGCCTGTGTTCTTGCTGAACAAACTCAACTGTGACAGTCAATCAGCCTGGGTAAGGATGGGAGCCTGACACCACCAATGACCAGCAGGGGATGCTAGAGGGACTCCACGTCCTGCTTAAGGGGACAGAGGGAAGCTGGCACCAGATGAGAAACGTGCCCCACACTGCAGCCACCCACCACATGCGCCTGCTGAGCACAAGACATGTAGGCCGTGACACTGAGATGTGTGGGCCTGGGTACGGTGCCCAGTTGACAGAGTGCTTGCCCAGAAGGCTGCCATACATGGCCTCGAACCATCGTTCTGCATGAACAGGGCACAGTACACACCTGTACTCCACGGAGCTAGGGGCAGGATGATGAGAGGATTAGAATATTTTAAGTCCGCACAATGACTGCCTCTATGACTCACATTTTGTGTTCTTTGAACAGTGCTGGCCCAGAGCACCCCAGCTTCACCCCCATTCTTTGGAAGGACAAAGACTCACGTATGGGAAAGTAGCCAGGCTCTCAGAGCCAGTAGCTTTTTTTTTTCCAGCAGGTGATGAGGGGCCTTTCATCTTACAGTTGTGCCACAGGATCAAACTGGGTGTTCTTTTACAATGGTGTGCATTAAACAATACCTAAAGAAAGCACTGTGGTGTATTAATCAAAGCGTGATTACTGAGGCCAGGCAGGCTGGGTGTGATGTTGCAATTGGCAGAAAAAGGCTTAATATATTAAGGTTCTTATTCTCTGTAAAGGATGAAGAAGAGGAAAGAGAAGATGAGGTATAGTAGCTTAGAGTGCAAAATAACCCCAAGGGCCCATGTGTAAAAGGCTTGTTCTCCAAACTGGGGCACCATTGGGCGTCCTTAAGAGGGAACGCCTAGTTTGGGAAACTAGTAGGGGTATGCCTTTATTGAAAACCCAACCCTTCCTGCTTCTCGCTCTCCTCTTGTGGCCACACAGCAAGCTGGCCTCCTCTATCATGTCCTGCCATATGCACTGCCTGGCCACATGCCCTAAGGCAGTGGGGCCCAGTGACATGAGCTAAAAGAAACCTTTTCCTTAAAAGTTGATCTGCCGGGCACTTTGTCACAGTGACAGAAGGCAGAAGGGAGTGGTAGCAGAGCAAGGGGGATGAAGAACTTAGACACCGGGCCTAACAAAAAGCAAAGAACTGCAGCCATTCAGTAAACGTCAAACAGTGTTAACTGAGAATCTTTCAGAATAATGGCTGGGGACAGGGAAAACTGCAGGGAACCAGTGACAAAGGACGCAGGACTGCTTGTCCAGTTATCCCAACCAAGGATTGATGAAAGCCGGGTTAGGCCCAGGATTGATTCCACATGGTGCAACAGTGCCCTCTAGTGGCAGAGCGGTGAAGCTGCTCCAGGGATAAGAGGCAAGCAAGAAAAAGAAAAAAAAATGCAAATTGTCCTGGATTTGGTAAGACAGTGAGCTCTCCCTGTTACAGCTATCATATCAAAGAACACTTTTTACCCATGAGTCACCTTCAAAGAAGTGACGTGAAACAGGGAAAATCAATAGGCTCATCAAGGTTTGCTGTTAAGCTGGAGGCTGTCCCTTTGTTCATTGTACTGTTTTTCTAGAATGAAAAATAGAGACTCCTTTTGGACACATTGGATGTGACAGAGAAGGAGCCTGGGTGTTCTGCACTGGGATTTGATTGGATGGGATGGCGAGGAAGGTCTGAGCTGTGCGTGTCACTTTTTCTGGGAACAGCTGATAAACTACATTGGCTAATGTCAAGGTCAGAAGTCGGGGCAAGCTGTTAGATCCTTTGTGTTCTCCGCCTCATTTCTCCTTGCTGGGTGCCTGAGGAGCATGAGGGGGTTGTGTGTGACACAAGAGAAACCCTGGGAAGTTCCACACAGCACTGTCCCACAGACAACAGATGGTAAGTGCTGTCATTTTTCTGTTGTTCAATGGCCCTGGAAACCGGGGAATAAATGCTGGAAGATACAACAACTCTTTTTATGATTTGGCTTGAGGAACAGCCCCACTGGCTTCTTCTTGTTCTAGCAATCAATTATATCATCATTCTGAGACAAAGTCTCCTGTTTCTAAGGCTAGCCCAGCACTCACCATGTAGACCAGGCTGGCCTCGAACTCACAGCACATCTCCTTCCTCTTGGGGTTAAACCATGCCTGACCATAAGCTGCACAGTCCTGGAATCATGGTGCTGACTGAAGCGCAATAATAGTTAGAAACTCAGGTCATACTCAGCCCTGAAACAAGGTCACCCTCAAAGACGTGTGCTCATTTCAAGAGACACAAGTGCTTGTTCCAGGCAGTGACTTTCTCCTCTCCACTCCTTCAGCCAACGTGGATGTAAACCCTAACGCTTCACACCAAAGAGAGTTGATCATAGTTTTCTTACTTTTTGTTTGTTTGCTAACAGTGACCTAATGTGCAAACACTGTTCATTGGTAATCAGCTGGCTGAATGTGTCAAATCCTCAGCCAGGCCCAGACTGCTATGAGAAGTGTGTTTTCCTATCTCCTGTGGTTCTTGTTTCAAAATCCTAACGTTACCTTAATATCCTGGAAAAGAGAATGCAGAGATAGGGGGAAACAAAGTTCTCTGGGTACTGACATCAAGGATGTTTGCTGGAGAGGAGTGGAGGAGGCAAGCGCCAGAGACTTGGGGTGAAGGGCCCCAGGCTCCCGCAGTGCAGAAAAGATTAGTGTTACACACCTTCTGGTGGTACGGTCCCAAGACGATCCAGCCACAGAACGTGTACCCCAGGTAGATCATGCCAGCGCATGCGCAGAACCGGAGGACTTTGGGCAGCGAGGCCTGCATGGTTAAAATGAGCACCTAAAAGACAAAGGAATGGATGGTCCAAAGGAGGAAAGAGAGCTGGTAGAGCCCAGTGGAGAAGCACTGTGGAACTTCTGAGAACTTACGTTGTATGTCTGAAAGTAACCCAAATATCTGATGACTCCAACCCAGACAAACAGTGTTGATGTCCCAAGAAAAATGCTGCACAGATCATAATTTGTGAGGTTCTAAGGAAGAAAAAGAAAATGCAGCTGAGCAAAACGCCCCAGTCCCCTTGGCTTGTTTACCTCCCTTTAGTGGAGGAGAACTGACTGCTCCCTTTCCAAGTTTGCCACTCCAGCACTTGGGAGGCTGAGAATAGAGAATCACCATGAGTTCTAGGCCAGCCTGGACTACAGAGTGAGTTCTAGGCCAGCCTGGACTACAGAGTGAGTTCTAGGTCAGCCTAGACTATGGAGTGAGACCTTGTCTCAAAACAAAAATAATGAAGAAGAGGAGGAAGAACAAAAAGAGGAGAAGGAGAAAGAAGAACAAGAGGAGGAGGATGAGGAAGAGGAGGAAGAGGAAGAAGAACAAGAAGCTAAGAAGGAGGGAGAGGAGAAGGGGGAAGAGGAGGAGGGGAAAGTAGAGGAAAGCTGCAAATGTGTTCTTTTTCTTTTCTTTTAGTATTTTAATTGTGAACTTATTTCTTTTCCAAATAATGTTTCTGAAATAGGACTTGCCCTTTCCACTGACCTAGGCATGAAAAAGCACAGTGTTTGTCAAATATCAAGCAATGTAGTCTGGCCACTTTGGGAAGCAAACTCCAGTGTGATTTACTGGCAGAGCTCCTGCTCTCAAGAGAGTCTAGGCTTCACTGAAGAGACAAACAAGAAACACAATTCAATACAATGTGCTAAATTCAATGAGAGGTGCAGAGGCCCTCCCGTGGGCACGGCCCAGAGCCAAGCTGGGCCCACAGCACAGGTCGGAGAGAAGTCTACAGGCACATGCACAGAGTCTAAACACAGCCTCAGGGCAGAGGTCTGGTATGTGGAAGAGCAGTATTAGAGCCATGATGGAAGCCAGAGCTGGAGGAGGGGACCCTAGTGGCCATGCTTGGGGGAGGTCAACTTCATCCTAAGTGAATTCTGGAAGGCGGAAAGGACTGTAACAGCAAGATGAATACTTCCAGGAAGACTGCCCAGCCACTGTACCACCGAACCTGTGGGATATAAGACTAAAGATGGAAACACAAACAGGAAGGCAGTTGAGGCAGTCCAGGCCAGAGAGAAAGTAAGCCTGAGGGAAGCTAAAGGTAGCTGGGATGGAGACAGGAGACTGTAGCCATGATGAGGACAGCTTTGAAAGAGTGACATAGGGCAGGGAGAACACTACAGTAAAGGACTCAGAGTCCAGCCAAGCGAGCAAACCAACTAACTGTCATAAACAACCAGTCAGGCCTTGTAGACACTCAAGAATTGCTTGTCACTCAGCCCTCGGGGCCCGCAGCATCTGGGATCCCGACACACAGACACACACCTGCCACTGGCTCTTCAGGTGTGTTCAGGAGAAGTGTCTGGTCTGTGTGCCAGTTGCTGCCTTTGTGACTTACACAAGTAAATAGACAGACACATTCAAAAGTAGATAAATACAAAGCCCAAACCCTCAGTCTATCCCAGACTTCAATTCCTGTTCTAAAGAGGCTGCCACACAGCGCCTGGAGGAAGGCCATCATAGGATGTCATTTCCAGCCACTCTTCCTGAGGAAGAGTGAGAATTATGCTAGTCTCCAGAGCACCCCATGTTTCCCAGCACCTGAGGTCATCCAAGAGAACGTGGGTTCTAGATGGCGTGCCACTTACCTTGGCTTTGATTTCCATCTTCAGGATGGATCCAATTATTGTCATGAGGTCGCTGATAGTGACCAGGATGTACCATCCGTTGATGAACTCCCACTGGTCAGCGTCACATACGCGTCGCTTGTACTTCTCCAGGAAGAAGTTTAGAAATCTCTACCGCAAACATTTAAAAAGCATTTCTTACAAGTCACACTGCCCTCTGGAGGCAGAAAACAAGAACAGTTCCAAGATGGTGGACCTACCTCACCAGGAGACACAATGACACATGCTAAGTTACATGGCCCACTCCAGTGTAAGCAAGCATTTGAGCACCTGCTAAACTAACCCAAACACCAAGTACCCATGCTGGCCCTCCAGCAGTGCTAACTCAGTGTGTGTTCCAATTCCGCATAGTATGTCCTCATTCAAGCTGATTGATGGCAACCTTTTGAACCAGGATTCTCTCGGGGTCCAGACAGTAGGCACTGTGTTCCCAGTGCTGTACCCGCACTTGGTAGAGGGAGACCTCAACCTTGGGTTTGGAATATCCAGAAGGTTGGAAAGCAGATGTGAAGTAGACAGTGAAAGTCAAGGGGGTAGAGAGATATCTTGGCATTTAAGAGCACTGGTTGTTCTTCCAGAGGACCTGGGTTCAATTCCCAGGATCCACATGGCAGCTCACAACTGTCTGTAGCTCCAGTTCCCCTGGAACTCTGACACCCTCCCCTGGCTTCTGGGGGCACTGGATGAATACAACACACAGACACACATGTGTGCAAAACACTCTTACACATAAAATGAAAATAAATAAATCTCAAAAAATAATTTAAAAACCAAAATGGAAGTCTAGAGCAAAGAAAACAAACATAGGCTGTTTCCTGCTCTGAAGATAGTATTTCAGTGTCTTCCTGCTTCCCCTGACCCCAGTGGGAACCTAGACTCACACCTCAAGCCAGAATAACACATATCATGAGCTGAAGCACATACTCCTGAGAAAGCATGTTTAAAGAGGTAAAAAGGTGCAATGAAACTATGTAAGAAATCGAAGCAAAGAATCCTGTGCTCTGTTGGAACCCATTTACCATGCCTCCCTCCCAAAGTGACCTCTGACTTGAAGACAAAAGATGGAAGGAACCCATAAGTGCTCAAACATCCCTGACAGTAACATTTTATTCTGGAAACTTCTAAATGCTTGGGAGCTCACCACAAATACCTGTGCTTGTTAGCTCGATTTGAAGCGGAAAAATTCCCTGACCTCCTAAAATACCTAAAAACTTTTCCTTCTTTTTAAAACTTTGATGTGTACATATGTATGTGTGCCTGTGTGTTCGTGTGTGTGTGTGTGTGTGTGTGTGTGTGTGTGTGTGTGTGTGCACACATGTGCAGCCCGGATGTAGAAGCCAGGCGTCGTCTTCAACCACTCCCAACCTTGTTTTGCCTCACTGAACCTGGAGTTCACTGATGGGCCAGACCTGCCAGTGAGCCGCAAGGACCCCGCTGTTTCCACCTTCCCCGAGCTGGAATTACAGGCACCTGGGGCCTGACTGGCTTTTTTATCTGGGTGCTGGGAATCCAACTCAGATCCTCTTGCTTACACTTTCCCAACTGGCCCATCCCACCAGTCCCTGAGGCCTCTTCTTACTTCCTGGGCCTCAGGATGAGAAGGGAAAGTAACTAAGAAAGGGTAGCATAGCCAAGTGTCAGTAGTTCCCGTGATTTGGACAGACGCAGGCTGCAGGCTGAAGGCGGAGGGAGAAAAGGAAGAGCCGTGTTTACCTTTCTCAGCCTCAGAGCAAGAACAATGGATCTTGTGCACAGGATAAGGGATGCCAGGCAGATCATAATGACAAACACATCAAACACCAGGACATAGTGAGTGCTTCTCTGAGCTGCAGAACAAGGCAGAAGGTGACTGTTAAGGGCGTCTGACACAAATTGTAGAGAATAATTTCCCAGCAAATGGCAGTCTGGAGGGAAGTTCAAAGAAAAATGACTTTGTCTATTGTTTAAACAGTAGCTATCAGAAGCAAAATCACCCGGCATTCATTCTGACAAGCTGACACACCCTGGAGGAGAGGGCCGTGCGCTTACAAACGCAGGCAAGGTTAAACAATGTGCTAAGGTTCTTTATAAATGTCTACTGCAGAACAGAAGTCAACAGAGTGTGAAAAGGCCAAGATGGCCTGTCACTTCACACAACAACACGGACAGCAAGTCTGCCCCGGTGATAAGACAGAGAAGCCCCACTTCCGCTGCGAATCCCCGCTTCCGCTGCGAAGCCCCACTTCCGCTCCTCAGCTTCACGGCGCTGTCCCAGCAGAGTTCCCATCTGAAGCGCTTTTGCTGCATGCTGATGCCACGAAAGTAACTCCCAGGAGTGAAAGGCAAGGGATGAGGAGGAACCTGCTGTTCTCTCTGGAATGCACAGTGGCAGGAGGGTGTGCCCAAGAGGGACCACCTGTAAGGGTGGCTGCTCTCAGAGGGCACGGCTGCACATTCCCGCGGCTGCTCTCCTCTTCCACACTGTGATTCTGCCCCTCCCTGGAACGGGCGCCCCTGCCGATGGCCAGAACAGTGCTTCCCACACTCCTGCTCAGGTTCTTTGCTTTGGGGGTCAAGTTTCAGATTTTTCTTGTTATTGATTCCCTTGCTTGATAGGCTTGTACCTTTATATAATGGGTTCTGACCCCTTGCTCGCATCCTCTTGGCTCCCTCTCCTATCAACCCCGGCTACCCTTCCCTCTGAGATTCATGGCTTTGGTCTGGTTCATGACCCATCTGTGTGACCACTCCGTGCGTTGGAGCCTGGTGGGGTCATGAACCGGCGACCCGCTGAAAGCAATGGTCCTCCCCTCTCTGATCTGCCTGTTGCAGACAGTTCATCAGTGTGGGAGTAGAGGCCTTCCTTCTCTAAGTCATCTTGGTCATGATGTTTTATCACAGCAATAGAAAACTAACTAATAACCTATGCTGAATATGAACTGGTGGGAACGCTCCTGCCTCAGCTTCCCAAGTGTTGGCAACAACCACTGAAACCATTTTGCCTTAGAAACACCTTCCGAACCTGAGATTGAAAACACTGGTGCAGAAATACGCCCTGCCAGCCACTCTGACTAGAGAAGAAGGCCCACACTCCGCTCACCCACCCCACCCTCCCAGCAGCTGATGTGTAGACACTCCACCACTGTCTGCCTCTGGGCTCCGACTCGGGGCTACCCAAACTTAGGAACTCTCATCCCTGCGATAATTAAACACCATTACTCACCCCATCAGCGGGGAGCCCTGCCCATCCGTCTTCCAAAGCCTCGTGTGGCTGGCTATAAACTATCATTTAAGATATAAGTTGACGGAGAGCAGAGGCGCTCCGGAGGAATGCGTCTCCGGAAGCAGAGGAGGTCTGCCTGTGGACCTCTCTGCCTGGCTTTGCTTTGAGATGTGGGAAGAACTCAGCGCAGAAGCTTAGAGCTCTTCAGAACACTTGGGAAATAGCGGCCAGCGCCCACCAGAGGGCGCCTCCGCCCTTGTTTCACAGGCAGCTTCAAGCCACCGCAGCTTCAAATGGAAGAGGGGCCATAACCTGTCTCCTAAACTGGTTCCTAAACCTCGGCTTTCTAACGACTACACTTTATTTTAAATGCATGTTCTCCTAGTGGTGAGGTCGAGTTTCTTAAGGTGCGGCTGTAAGATTCGCACACGTTAGCAGTTTTTTTCCACGCAGGTGTGTGAGGCCTGTGCTTCTCTCTGTTGGCCGCATGGGGGAGCTAGAGCGCTTCCCTTCTGTGCACCAGATGAGGGTGGTGCGGGGGAATGGACACTGGGGAGCCCGTGGCTCACTTTGCAAAACACATTTTATATATGACAAACGTCCTTCCCCCCGCCCCAAGGACGTAGCTTCAGCCTTTACTTAAACTTGAACCTGAAGGCCTTGTCAGTGTTTATCTGTGAGTATCTGCCGCAGAATAGAAAACCCATTTTATCAGAAACCCAAACTGTATGTTTCCTTTAGAGGAATGACTGAAACCAAAGCTAGGGAAGCAAAAGAAAACTTCAAAATCGTCGTCCATTGTACAACTGAAAAGAAATGAGCCATGGTTGGAATTAAAGCCATGTGTCTCGTATTTTATCTTTCTAGTCAGCTGGTCAAAGGTGAGATCATTTAAACGAAGCTTGCCAAGTCACAATGCTCTCCATACTTTAAAGACATCACCTGGATGGCTCAATAATCAAAACAGGATCCAATATCTCAGACTCCTCCTTAGAGACAGGAATCTCTGTGTAACTTACTCTGGCTTTGACCTTGAAATCCCCTTCCTTCTCCACCATAGTGCTGGGATTACAGGTATGACACCCTGCCTAGCTCAACAAGCCCATTTAAGCACATGGACTATGGAGTAACTGAGGAAATGCCCCCTTGTGTATTCAGGCTGCCGTCTGCACTCTGGAGTCTTGACCCTTCTCCACAGCCCAAGGCTTGGACCAAAACATACCCCCTCCAAGAGTCACTGCAGGATTCCCACCCCTCCCAGGTCAAATTTACATTCTCCTCAGACCACCTATCGCTACCATGCCAGAGAGCTGGTCACTACAGCTTTCCTACTCGCTGGAGCCTAGACTCCTGTGAGTCTCATTGTCAGCACTTGTAGGTCATCGTTCTTGCTCTGTTGAGAAAGATGCTAAGACAGAGAGGCCAAGAAATAGGTCCAAGCCCTGAACCATGGCAAACAGAACCAGAATGCAACCCCAGGCCATCTGGCTGCATAGGCTGATCGCTTATGCCCCGGACTCAACGCTAAGTCCTCAAGAGAAGCGGCTTGGACAGGAGTGCCAAGGTCCTGGGACTAGTGTTTGAGCTGTGTTGGTCTGTTACTTTCTTCCCACCAGCAGCCACACCAGTCTCAGAGGTTCTGTAAGTCCCCATCCTTCCTGTACCCCACAAAGGGCCAGGCCGGCTGCACGGCACACTTACTAGGCCCAGATATGTTCATGGCTTTACATTCTTCGATGTTGGCCTCGCTGTTGAAATAGATTTTGATTTTTCCGCTGTGGGCTGTGTTGTCAAAGATAATCTAGAGACAGAAATGGGGAGGTTAGAGTGCAGCGGGAGATGGGAGTTGTGGGGTCACCTGCTTACGAATGCCAGCAGCACCCACATAGAACTCGGATAAGAAGCCACACCAATGAGGATGCCTGGCATGTGGGTTCTGGTCTAGCCGCTGTTGCTGTCACAAAACTCTGACTTTAAGCAGCTTGGGCTTATTTCAGCTTGCAATCCCAGGCCATGCCTCATCACCAAAAGAAGTCACAACAGGGGCTGTCGTGCACAGCACAGAAGGCTGCTTCCTGGCTTGCTTACTGCTCACTCAGACTGCCTTCTTATCCAGCCCAGGACCACCCGCCCACAGTGGGATTAGCTCTCCTCCGCCAATCAGCAGCCAAGAGAATGCCCCACGGAGATGCTCCCCGGCCAGTCTGATCTGAGTAGCCCTCTGGTGGACACTCCCTCAGATCACCGTGGATTGTGTCCAGTGGCTGGAGCTAACTAGGAGCAATCCTTTGAAGTTTTCTTTTACTGAAGCAAACGGCGGTGTACAGGGGAGAAGGTGTACTACAGGTGCTGGGATGTGAACTCGGGTCCTCATGCTGTCCACAGGAGCTACCTTCCCTGCCCAGGAAGACTGTTGTTGAGAGCTGTAAAGCGCTGGCTCTGTCTTCACTTGGAAAAGTCTCTGGATGAGAGGCACCACACATGGCCTATGCTGCTCCAGCATAGCAGTACCTGATGTCAGTAGGTGGCGCATGCCCTCTTCTACGAGAACCACAGGGAACAGACGCAGACAGGGGCTGACGGAACACAGAGACACTTGCCGTGTTCTGGAAGATGTAGCAGTCTGGTATCTCTCGGGAGTGAATTGCCTGCAGGTCAATTCCTTTGAGGGCAAAGGAGATGTCAACTTGCACAAGCCTAAATAAAACACAGTGAAAGGCTAAAGTCTCTGTTGCTGTCCCACTGTCCACCCCTCTCCACTCCCCACCAGAGACTCGACAATGCACTTACCGATAGAAGTCTAGCCTGAAGAAAGATTCCTGTGCCCAGTCCTCAGGTTCCTTGGCAAGCACCTGGAGGTCCAGGTGAATGCATTCTAGAGCAACAAATAGACAAGGAATGGTCATTTCTGTCAAGAGTCTGATGCTGCAGAAGCTGTGTGATGAGAAAGCAGGGAGCTTTGGAAGTCTTAAAACACATGCCATAAAACATCAGCTAATCACAGCACGGAGCAAGGCAGCCCTTGACGGGAGAAATGGGCAGGCGCCACTTTGACCCAGGGACCATGTTAACATCGCCAGTCTCCAGAAGGAGCAGGCTTCAGGTGCCTCCCACACTGGGAAGAGCACATTACCCGGGCAATATTCCTTCTCCGAATGTGCATCCTCCCCTAGTCGTGATGAAACAAAAATGCCTGGCGAAGGATGTTCTTCTTTAAAATGTAGTGATCAGCAGAGCATTTGGGAGGCAGAGGCAGGAGGAGCTCTGTGAGTTCAAGGCTGTCTTGGTCCACTTAGCAAGTTCCAGGCAAGCCAGGACTACAGAAACTGTCCTCCCCCCGCTCCCTTAAAAATTATCCTCTGAACTATGAGGCCCAACATCATTGCTTCACAAGGCAGGAAGGGAGTCCAGGGTGAGCCCGGGTGAGGGCACAGAGACCTGGTGACAGAGCTGGTGGGAAGCCCACACTGAGTCTATGCCATGCTGTCCCTGCTGTGCGGAGCTCAGGACCTAGGGCAAGCTGGCTCCCAGTGGCTTTGCTAGATCTCTGTGCTCATAACATCAGCTCCCTCTTTGTTTGATTAATAGCTTAGCTATCATATGAGGTCACTGAGAACAAGATGCAACTCTGCTGCACCCTGTTAGACCCTCTCAGCCTCCAGGGTAGCTGGCACTCCAACCATGCCCCTGACGTGTGGGATACATTTATGCTTAATAAAAATGTGCTATCCTGGGCCAAACACACTGGCACAGAACCGAATAGACGATTCCATGAAACAACAGAGCCATGTACTGTGGCCATGTAGTCCCCTAATTAATGAACTGTTCTCTTTAATCCTCAATGACAGACAGGCAGTGCTGATGCTACTTAGAGAATACGCCTTCCATGTGCTAAATACAAACAATGGCCTCTGTGGCCAGCTCACCTGGTGGGCTAGCCTCAGAACATTAGGTATACACTGAGAAATATTGTTCAGTTTTCCTTTAAATTAATGGAAGTGTGCTCGCCTCGGGCAGCACATAGACTAAAGTGGGAAGAATACAGAGAAGATTAGCATCGCCCCTCCACAAGGATGGCACACAAATTCATAAAGCATTCTGTATTTTTATTAAGTACAGCGTAACCATGCTGCCCTCTACAGACCCGAGAATCTAAGTTACGAGGAGGGCCCGAGGGACTTGCATCTCACTCAGAAGGAGAAAAATAATAGGTATTGGAGGTGGAGGGAGGGAGGGGAGGAGCAGAGGTGGGGATTAGGTGTAGGGAGAACAGAAATCACAGGTGGGGGCATCTGTGGGACTTGCCAGAAACTTGGGATAGAGCAGGTCCCAGGAAGTCTGTGGGGGTTCCCCTAGCTGAGACTCCTAGCATCGAGGGATATGGAATCTGAAGTGTTCACCTCCTGTAGCCAGGCAGGACTTCCAGTGGAGAAAAATTCACCCACAAAACTTTCAACCCAAAATTTGCCCTGCCTACAAGATATGCAGGGACAAAGATGGAGCAAAGATTGAGGGAGCAGACAACCAAAGACTGGCCCTGCTTGAGACCCATCCCACAGGAGAGGGCCAACCCCTGACACCACTAATGATGCTCTGCTATGCTTGTGGACAGGAGCCTAGCATAACTCCTCTGAGAGGCTCCTCCTGAGCAGCTGAAGGAAACAGAGGTAGAGGCCCGGAGCAAACATTAGACAGAGCTCGGGGAGTCCCATGGGAGAGTTGGGGGAATGATTGAGGAAGCTGAGGGGGTCAAGGACTCCACAAGAAGACCTACTGGGTAAACTAACCTGGGCTCACGGGGGCTCAAGAAACTGAACCACCAACCGCATCCCAAGGGAGTCAAATGCAACTGCTTCCACCGTCTGGAGGCTTCCAGCAATGTGTACAACCACTCCACACTTACCTCACTGGCAGGCTTTCTCAAATTATACAAGGAAATCAGGTATCGAATACTTTAAAAACCTTTCAATACATTCTCTTTGAAGGTTATAATTAATAAGGTCAAAGACTGCAACGACCACACTTAGGCAATCTCTCTTAAAGTCGGACCTCTCCCCACTTACTCTAAAATATTCCAGATACTTATAGAAAGAACATGAACAATAGCACCACTGACCAATACTTGAGGAAATAAATAAGACTTGCTTTTCTGTCCTGTCCAACTTCCCTGGCTATTGCTACTGACTCTGAACATATTTTTAAAAGCAATTTTCTGAGAAAACTCAATCAGAAGAACAAACAAACAAACAAATGAGCATGGTAGATGCGTTGTGTGGTACATCCCATTTGAGTCACACGGTTTCAGAAGGAAAGCGGTAACCAGTGGAAAGTACCAGGACCAGACCAACCTTCGGCCCCGGCTGTGAAGTTGCTCCCGTGTTGGTTAGAGGAGCCGTCTGCATGGTGAGGCTTGCCTGAGCTCCCATGTAAGAGATTCCAAGTGATGCAATCTTAACTCTGGCTGCCTGCTGGGTAGCTATTCCCTCCGGCATGGAGCCCTCCTTAAAGGATGTAGGCATCGAGAGTGGAGGCTGCCAAGACTCGGGAAGCTAAGACCTACATTTCTCAGGAAACTCTGAAAGTTACAAGATCCACAGAGCCCTCTCCGAGGTCATGAAAGCACTTGCAGGGTCAGGTGGCCTCTTAGTGGAACAGGGGCCCATAGGACGCAGCTTCTGAAAGTCATCACACATGCTGGGTGGGCACAGGAAGTAGCTGTCTCTGAGTCACCCATAGTCTGGAAGCAGCCCCAGTCAATCAGTTCGCTAAGCTACTGGTGGGTGGAGTCAATTCTTTGGTCAAATATGCATTCATTCACATCTCCCTAGGAAAAGCTATACAACTACCACACAGATCTCAGGCCTGGAGACCAGGAGTGTTTCAGCGGCAGTGACTGAAACTGCTGCTCCCATGATGCTCTCTGATAGCAGCTTGGAACCCAGGCTCCACATGGGCCAATATGACCCAGTGACTACTTCCTTCAGAATCCAGAGCCCAGGGCACATTTGCTCACACGTGGATTCTGAATGGCCAACTCAAAGAAACAGGTAAAAACCCCTATCCTGTGAGGAGTCTTCCTGTGTTACCAAAGTACCCCAAGATCAGAATAAAAAAAAAATATGGCTAAACAGACTATGTGATGCTGTCATTTAACTAAAGCCCACCCTGCTAGTAGGACCCCTCCTCCTGAATTGCCAGGTACTTGAAAGCCAAAATGGTTAGCTTTGGCAACCCCATGATAGGAAACAGACAGTGAGTGCCTTGGGTGTGTTAACTAAATAGTAAAACCTTCAGTCTTAAAACACACACTGTGAGCTCACATCTTCTTTTGCCTACTTAATAGAATGGCACAAGGTGACTTTACATACTTAGCTGAGATGTTTCTGTCAAGTAATCTCCTAAGAGAAAGAATAGTAATTATTAACTCTGCAATTCCCCTTTGAAAAGCTGGTGTGCGGCACACAGCTGTGGTCCTGGCACTTGGGAAGCAGAACCAGAAGCACCAGAGGTTATGAGCAGTTACTGAGGAATTTCAAAATGTACCAAAGATATATAAAAAAACACTACTCCTTCCCATCACCAGCAACACGTGGTCTCCTGAGTCAAGGCCTTTGAATGCAGCTGTGAAAGTGACAGCCTGTTCCAAGGGGATGTAGAGGAATTTTAATTCAGAATGGCTGATCTGGCAAGAGATCACATCCAAAGACCTTCCAGGTCTGTGTGGAATACCAGCACATCTTTAAACCAGGAGACGGCGGCAAGCAGATCTGACTCTCAGGTAAAGAAAAGCTGAGATCCAGGCATAGTGGCACAGGCCTTTAATCCCAAACAATGAAGGTAAAGTTAGTTTATGGAAAGAAGCACCCATGTTTGAAAGTGATGTCTAATTGAGTGGCAGAAAAGGTGAGGAATCAGAGAAAGAGTTGACAGACTAGAATACGCCCAATTCTCATGAGAAGAGAGAAGAAAGTAAAGCTACTTAAGAGGCAACGCAGAGAGAGAGGAAGCAGTTTTTACCAGGACAGTAATAGAGAGACAGGCTGCAGAGAGAGAGAACTCAGGTGAAGACTGAATAAGCCAGATAATGAGGAGGAGCCGGGAGATTAGAGTGGATGGCTAGAGTTAATTTGAGGCCAAGCAGAGCAATTAAGAGGCCGAGAGAAAAGCCAGATTGAATAAGTCAGCTGGGAGAGGAGTTTGAGCCAGAACAGCAGAGTTGAACCAGCCATCTCAGAAAGAACAAGAAAGGGTGAGCTTATTCAACAGTAAGTCTCAGAGGCTGAAAACATTATAGACCTAGGTTAGATTGTATGGAGGCTAGAAGCCTCCAGAACTAGGCTAGATTGGCAGACAGAGGCAATAAGCCTCCCAGACAACAATTAAAACAGGAGAATAAAAGTTCCTTTAACACAGGGAGCCTGTTACACTCAGTTCCACTGACTTGCTAGCAAAGGAAAGCCATTTTGCTTATCACAGAAAATGACAAAGTCACATGATGAAGCACTCACTCCTGTTACCTGTCTCAATGTCACTGTCAATACTGAGGGTCTCGTTAGAAGAAAACATGGCTTCTGTCTTGTAATGCTGCTTACAGAATTTCAAGGCCGTTCTATTGTCTTCATCCTCTCCATAACCAAGGGTTGCCAGGGAAAGGTTCTTCAGCTGACGATACTGTTTTTTAAAGCACAGTTAAATTATAGATAAATAAGCCACAAACCATATGTACTCTTAATTACTTTTATTGCTTATACAGTGCGTTTTGGGAGCAGGGTCCAGTTTGACACAGCAGGAAAGCATTTTCTTCAGTTGAATGGGGACACACTGCCTCATAGAACTCTGCACCAAAGCAATATCCTGAGGGAGACTCCCAGCTTCCTCCCCGAGGTCTCACCTGACTTTTAGACCTTTTCCCATGCTGTGGTCCCTTCGCTCTTCCATGTAAAGCCCAGCTGGCCTCCAGGGAGTTCCCAGAGCTTGCAGACATACTTCTAACTCTGGTCTTTTAATTCCGTCTTCCTGGAACTACATCTGAATCTACTCATTTCACTCCTTCGAATCTTAGTCAAATATCACCACTACAATGAGCTCATGAAAATTTCTAATACCAAAACCTCCTTTGCGCTTCATTGTTATAATGAATTATATGTTAGTTAAAATAATAAAAGCAAGTAAAAAGTCAAAACTGTAGGAAACTACGAACATCCATCTCACACCAGAAGGTTCCCCATCTCCCTTCTTGCTTCACTGAGGACCTGCACCACCCACATGTCACAGCTCACACTAACACAACTAACACTCTCGTACATTAACACAATTCTGCTACTGGCTGCCTTCACTAATAGGGCCTCACTAGCCTCCATCTTCATTGTTATGACTTTATGAGGAAACATTTACAAAATTACAGGAATGTTGCAAACAACTACTAATTGTTTCAAAAATTAAAAAAAAAAAAATAAGCTGAGCTTGGTAGAACAGGCCTTTAATCCCAGGCAGAAGCAGACGGATCTCTATGTGTTTGAGGCAAGCCTGATCTACCTAGCACGTTCGAGGCCATCCAGGGCTATGTAGTGAGACCCTGTATCAATAAAATAAAACAAAACCTTATCAACTTGGCCAAAAATTAAAAATTTAGTCTTAACACAATTCCAAGACCCTGTGGCTTCTCCTACAGCCTTACGTGCTGTGTCCACCCATCTTAAACTCTTGCAACATGGTCTTCACCTAATTTTAATCAAGGTCCCTCTATATGAAAGGACTCCCACCCCACCTGAGGCACCACTGAGAGTGGTCAGAGGAATTTCTTCCTTCCTGCTGCCAGCAAAAACTCAGCTGTGCTTAGTAGCATGTCTTGGGTACTCTGTCATTAAGGAGCCAGCCTTCAGTACTATAGATTTCATTTCTCTTCATTTTTCTAGCTCTCTCTTTTCCACAGGCCAGGATTTTATCTGTTTTATTCACTGCTACATCATAAACGGGCAGTACTTGCCAAATACCAGGAACTCAAATATTTATTGAATTAATGGAAAGGGAAAAATATGACCCTTAAATGTTTTCTTCTTACACTGTATCACACTTCGTATCCTTACTATTTAGCCAGTATTATGAATGCTATTACATCAAATTTGAGAGCACCCACATACCCTCTGATTGGGTTTCACATTTGTACCAAACCTGATTTTATAATCTCGTAATTCTTTGTTCTGGGATAATCTCCTTAAAGTAGTGGTTCTGAACAATAAACTAAGAAGATTAAAACCTAAAGAAAAGACTTTAAATGGTGAAATTCTGCTTTTAGTATCTGAAGTAGCAGTAAAGATCTCGGCAGGCTATGTGAAATTTACACGAGATAATAGTATTTGTTGGTTTGCTAGGACAACACTCCAGGTATCTACATAGTCTTCAAAGTAGGCCGTTCCAAACACTTGCCTGCTTCATCACGAAAAAGATGCTTTCATAGGCGTCCTCTTGAGTGTATATGCTACAGCTGTAGTCATCTTCATCGACTCCAGAAAATCCTCTCAGAAACAGGTGCTTAAAAGCAACGGTGTTGTCTTCCTTAAAAGCCACCACCAACTGGTTACCTAGGCCAAATCGAACAAGCTACAAAAGAAAACAGGAATGCGGCTCTTACCATTTACAGAGGAAAGAAAACGGCTTCTGATTCTTATCAGTTCTCACCTCTAAGCATCTGAAGAAAAATATCCATCCATTCCTTGAGTTACACAGGAAGAACACAATGTCAAAAACAGGAGGCTCCAAAGAGAATCACCTCATTACACTACGTCAGCAATTCTTAGTAGAAGACTGTGTCGGCAATTCAGAAAACATTCCAAAAAATGGCGTTAGACTTGCTCAGGACCTTGAGCTGAAGAAGCAGCCTTAAAGCCGGGCTTCTCCTTCCCTGTCTTCGAAAAGACAGAACTGTCACACGTTTCTCTGTCTCATCAGGCAGGGAAGAACAAATGACTCTAGAAAAGAAGGTTGAAGGCACCCCCAGGACTTTGCTCCAGGATGCCTGCTAGCCTTCAGGATGTCTCCTCCCTTAAAAATCACTTACCGCTACTCACAGTGACCTGTGACCACACTCCTGTGATACCAGCATTCAGGAGGCAGAGGCAGAGGGCTGCCATGAGTTCAAGGCCAGCCAGCTTATATAATGAGACCCTGTCTCAATATCCACCTCCCAATATTATCTATTTACTGACACAAAGTTAAATACCCTAAGGCTCTCTTCACCAGGAGCAACAGTTTTCCTCTTAGGCTGCATAAACAGTAAAAACAGCTAGTGGCAAAGTTCTACAAGAAACCAGGAACCGGTGCAGGATGCTATGCGCATGCACACACCATCACACAGGCATGAAGCTCCTTTATACACTTGCGCATATGTGCACGTCTGCATACATGCTTTCACCCCTGCCCTCTGTCGCACATAGCACACTCTCAGCCAAAGATCCACCCCCACACACTATGGATCACACAGGCATGAGGTCCCCTCTCACACACTGACATATGTGCACACGCCTGCACGCATCCCTTCACCCAATACTCTGTCACGCATAGCATGATGTCATTCAAAGCCACACACACACACACACATACACACACACACACACACACACACACACACACACAAATACAAGCAACTGCGGCGAAGTGAAACCCCAGCGAGTTTACCTCACACATTTTCCCGCCTCCTCAAGCTGTCTCATGAGTCAAGACTCTAGAATGTTTCCTCTGAGTCTCGCCCGGCTGAATCCTCGAAGAACCTTGAATTGTTTCCCCTGTACGAAATCAGGCAAGTGGACTGGGTAGCCCTGACAGTTACCACATCCTGTGTCACTCGGCATGCTATGTCCACAACAATGTACAAACCCGACGGCTCAGCCACTGAGACTGATGAAACTGGCTCCAGGACTTCCCAACGGTTTAATAGCTTTCGTTCCTGTAATTTCTCTGGTTGGGTGCACATGTTCGCATGCGTGTTCAATGTGTGCATGTGCGTGTGTGCGGAGACCCGGAGGCTGACACTGGGAGTCCTCCAGGATCATTCTCCACCTTACATATTGGGGAGAGTCTCTCGCTTGAACACAGAGCTTGCCAGTGTCGTTAGTCTAGCTGCCAGATTGATCTGTGGAAGCCTTGTCCCTTCACCACATAGCAGAGGCTCACAGTGAGGCTGCCAGGCCTTCCTACCTCTGCGTGGGTGCTCAGAATCCACACCCTCATCTTCGCACTTACACACGGGCACTTTACCCACTGAGCCATGTTTCCAGCCTATAGTTAGTCTCTCTCCTTTTTTTTTTTTTTTTTTGTAACCCACTGAATCCAATTAGTGCTGAATGTAAGAATGTATTTTGATTATTTTTTAAGGACTGAATAAGTAAAAACAATAGCCACATGTTTTTAGCAACTGCTTCACTTGCATTTCCTCTCCCGCTACCTCTCCCACAACCGCCCTTGTTATCATGTTTCTTCGGGAGCCCATGCTTTGCACAGCTGGGTTAGCCTTCACGAAATTGCCCCCAGCCACCTAGCTAGAATGGGAGCCAGACCTAGCTATCTCTGAAGCTTTTTAGAATGCCACATGAACAAAAAGTTTTTAGCCTTTCTATTAAAAACGTTAAAAGGTCTCTGGGGAACTTCTTACAGAAATGAGTTTTCAGTGCCAGCTTTTCAGAATTGTAACAGCCACGGTTGTTCGAGAGTGTATACACATAATCCTCTTTAGTCACTCAGTGTCACCATGTCACATTCCTCAAATACCAATGATTGAGCAATTACTAGAAACCAGCTACTCTAAGTAAACCATCAGACAAGACACCCTGAGCCTATTCCAACCTGCGCTGAAAACTCAAGTGACCTAAAGCCAAACCCTCCTGGCATGTGACGGCTGTCAGTAGAGCCTACAGGAGATGTCAGGAAAGGTCAGGCTGCTTTGGGAAAGCTAAAAAAGTAAACTAGGGAACCAACCCAGGACTGTTTGGAAGCTTTAGAAGAGGCCAGCCACATCCTGACAGTCTGAGCAGTGGCCCTTGAATGACACTTTTCAATCATTTTGAGCAGATTGGTTCTTCTCCAGACTTGGGTGGAGTGAGAGTGAGATTGTGCATAGCTGAATAAGAACTGAATAAGAACTCACCACAGACATCTGCTCAATCACGTTTGTAGCAGCTTTATTTGTAATAGCCAGAAGCTGGAAACAGCCCAGATGCCCCTCAGTTGAGGAATGGATACAGAAATTGTGATACGTCTACACCATGGAATATTACTCAGGAATAAAAAACAAGGAAATCATGAAATTTGCAGGTAAATGATGGGAATTGGAAAAGATCATCCTGAGTGAGGTATCCCAGAAGCAGAAAGACACACAGGGTATATACTCACTCATAAGTGGATATTATATATCTAATATCCACTTAT